CTAGCAAGACCACGCTCCCTGCATAAAGAGAACAGGCCATCGATGTGTAGCCAGGAGTCTTTAAATTTCCCCGATAAATATTTTCCCTTCATTCTTCCTGATAACCAACACATACAGGCCTGGTGCTGTCATTGCTGGATAACACTATCAACACCTGGAATGTGTGTTTTTTCTCAGACAGAAACTATTTTTATATCCATTCGAGGCTGCAGTGTTGACTACAAACGATATGTCAAGGACAAGAAACTGAATCAGACATTAACAGAGTCTGATGATTCGCTGAAGTAAGAAATACAAAAGCAAAAGTCATCCAACAAACCTTGTAAAGCTTTTACATCCTGGTAAAAAATCAAACAAGTACTGTACATTATAATAATAAGCATTGTAAATATCTAAGAGGCAGCACAGTGGCACAGTGGTTAGCAGTGCTGCCCTGGGTTCAGTTTTTGGGGTGCTGTCTGTGTGGGGTTTGTACGTTCTCACTGCATTTGTGTGCGTTTTGGCAGGATGCTCTGGTTTTCTCCCTCAGTCCAAAAACTGTGCAGGTAGGTTAATTGGTTTCTGGAAAATCAGCCTTGATGTGTGCATGTCTGTGTCTTTTTGTCTTCCCTGTGATGGACGTCCCGTCCAGGGTGTATCCTATCTTGCTGCCCTGTTACCCTGAACTCATATAGAACGGTACCCATTATGGTGGGGTAAATATCTGATAATAAAATAAATGTTTTAACTATCTTAATAATTTGATGAGTGAGCGCTTGTCCAAAACTGTCCGGTGGAATTTCAATTAACGTTTGGATTCAATAATCATCAGAAGAGTGTGAGTTCTGTCTCTGTGTGACATGTTGCACCTCGGGGCTGCAAGCACAATATTTGTAGGCTTTCTGTGGTGTCGATGGGGGAACTTTGAGCACAGGAGTTGGTTGTGAGAGAAAGGGCTTTCACAAGTGATTTAAAAAGTTCACCAACAAATAAACAATGCATGTGGACAAAGCAAACTCAGAATTGCAAGACTTACTGTAACAACACGTTTTGCTAGGTGTAAGGTTTTTTTCAACTTGTAAACCAGTTATCATTCAACAAGAGGAGGAAATCAGGTAACAGTCTATCTACTAAGCCTTATATTCCTTTGTATTAATAATTAGCTATGTCAGAGTGTCATCCTGTAACTCTAATTAACCACAATATGCAGTGATGTGCACTGACCTAATCTTTGAGATTCAGTACTTGAGAATTTCTAGCAATGAAAGATTAAAGGACGAATGTTGCAGCTTCTCAGTTAATACAGCTCATATACAGGGAAATGTATTGGGGGCAAAGTAAAAAAAAGACACTGGAAAATTCCCCCTGCTGGCTCTGCTGCACTGTGATTTTCCTTGTCTCAGCTCCTAATGTGCCACACAGTGTCTCCCTGCCCAGGGATTTGACAAATACAGACAACAGCTGGGTTCGGATCTCAGGGGAGAGCGAGAGGAGTGCTTGGCTTGTCAGGAAGTGGAAGAAAAACAAACCCTATAGCGCATCAAATTTTCATACAAGCATCAGTGCACAGTTAAGAGCTGTTTTATGGAACAAAATCAGCAGATAAATATCCTCCAGGAACAAATGAATTATAATGTTTTGTTTATTTTGTAGGATATGAGAGTGATAGTTGCCTTTTATTTAATTTAATAGAAAATATATGGAGTATACTTTTTTCAGAAAAAAAAAACACATTTTTTTTCCTATACAGTGTCTGTATAAATAGAATCTAGATTTTAAAAGCAAACTAAATATTCTCCATAATCACTTTCTCCTGTCCATCTTTCAGGCTCTGAGCACCACATCTGCCATTCTCATCCTGAGTTCCTGTCGCTTCTGGGTCAGAATAGATCTCGCAAAACCGCACCTGTCTTGATCTCACAACGATCTTATCATCTCTTTGTCATGCTGTCAGTCACAAAAATCAGCTCTACTTGTTTCCTTTCTCAAGAAAATGATGTCAGCCCCTGGAGGGGGAGGGTTGCTTTGGAATTGATTGTGATTGAAATGACTAAAAAATGCCAGAAAAATTGTCATTTTGGCTTCCTGTAAAAAACACACACACAATGCATTTAAAAGCTAGCACTTCCTTTAATTGATGTCTGTTCTTAGGACAACACAAAAATATCACTAGACTGCTGCTGCTCATTTAAGCTGAAAAGAAAAATCATTCTTTAACCACAATCATGGCATCTACCACTGCTGCTACTCCATCTAAAACTCCTACTAGTACTACAACGCCCGCTATAAAACTAATACTTTAATGACTTCGACTACCACTACTACTAAACTACTACTGTTGCTACTGCCAGTACTACTAGAAGCCGATTGCCTGGATGGCACCAACCCACAAAATAAACTATTTTGAACATCAAGTTCAACCATCATTGCAAAAAGGATGTAATCAATTATCAACAGATTAAGAAGGAAAGAAGAAATTTAACCCAAATAATAATAATAATAATAAGTATCTATATATATTGAAAGACAAAATAAAGTAAAACCTTTTCTTTTCTTATGAGGAAAGAACTAAAAGAGAACCAGATGCAAAGTTTTCCTTTTTTTCGACTGAGCCGTGCTGCAGAGCTGACCCAGGCTCCAGGACCCAGGACCCAGCTACTGTTGAGGGGATACAGCAAAAAGGCTTGGTTGCTTCCATTTTCAGCCAGGACAGGAGCTTGCCCAGACAAATTGAATATATTTGTTGTCTACAGAGCACTCCTAAGGTTTATTTCAGAAAATAAATTAAATTGGACAAGAGGCAAAAAAAACCCCAACAAAATAAATGTTCTTCCAGATCCCTGCACTCAGACTCATCTATTATTTATTCGCGTCTGAAAATTACATGATGCAATAAACTGGATGGTGGGCAGCTGGAGTTTCCAGGGGAGTTAATTAACCCCTTCGTTTAGCATCACTTTTATGTTCACAAATCTTTGAAGATCTGTGACTGAAATATTTAGAAAATGATGTTCTTAGCAATACTGCCACCTTTGCTTTTTTTTGCTAGGGAAACGCCAATGATAGATACTGTATCTAAAGAAAAATGGCTGATCTCTGACCTGCTGCATTCATTACTGCTCAGCATCAAGGGTAAATCAATTAAACAGTGTGGGGAACTTGGAACAGCTCTGTGGATTTCAGAGCTGGATTTAATACATTTTGGAAAGCTTAGTACAGTGTGGTTAAACATAGAAGCAGCGCATTTAATACCAAAGACCCAATACACAATAGAGATCGGAGGGCCAGTAAAGCGCAATGTGATGGACTCTGATAGCTTTTTTTCTGAGGATTCTCATCCAGAAAAAAACACAGGATTTTGGCCTGTTGCTCAGAGGAAGTGGACTGATTTCAGAACTAATATTGGCTAACAAGGGCGGCTCAAGATCATGAACCTGGGAAAACCTGCCTGATCAAACACCCCCAAAACCGCAATTTCAAGTCTGTGTTCCCACACGCTCCTGTTGCAGCAGTGTTGTAATGTGAGTGTGACACCCACATAGCCTGCGGTCCATGTGGCAGACAAGTTTAGTCACTCTGCTCAATTGTATTGTCATCTATATCTCTGCTCCACTGGAGGGTGAAGCTCGATTGCTGCTGGAAAGGTGTGGCCTGTCTCTCCAGAGTCACAGCCGACGGAGCCCTCTCGATAATTACTGCACGACGCCGAGCCTCCATCTCACCACTTGAAGACCCGGCTCCCCCCTCTCTTGTACACAGTATTTACGTTCCTCTGCCATGCTAGGGTACATTTAACCCTAAACAATTCTACACAACGTGTATTTTTTCCCTCTCTTTGGTTTGCTTTGCTTTTGAAGTTTGCTTTTAAGAATGCCGAACACCTTGAAAGAAACACAATCACTTTTCTACCTCGTATAGCTCTGTATTTGCACATTCCCGTGCAAGTCTCATTCACACACGCTTTTCCAGATAGGCAGATATAAGAATATAACAAGGCCAACTAAATAAAAGTATTGTATTTTCTTTGGGCAATAATGGAATCTGTGTGATGGATTACCTTTAGAAATAAACATTTAATATTTTGCGTTCAGGCTTTCCTTCCCTTCTACATAAAATGCTTTTTTTCAAATCCTGCAGAAACATTAAAAGCAGTACCAGTGTCAAACCTAACCAAAACATAGCAGGCAGGCTAAAAGTGCTGTAACAACATTGCAAGCCGAAGTGACACATCCTCCTCTGACCACCACAGCAAGACAAATGTGACAGCTTCTCAGTGTTACTGCCAAACCACAAAAATTATAGCTCAACCTGGGAAGACTCCCAGGAAGTTTCATCCATGGATTCAAGGGTAAAAAATATTTTTGCAGATGTTTTTCTAAAATTTGTAGCCCTTGTCCTATTCTTTGGGAGCTCTCAGCCTGTAAAAGGTATTAGAGGGGCCAGTCGGGGTGCTCACCCTGCGGTCTGTGTGGGTCCTAATGCCCCAGTAAAGTGACTGTAAAAAGGCGCCGTCTTTCGGATGAGACGTGAAACCAAGGTCCTGACTCTCTGTGGTCATTATAAACCCCAGGTTGTTTCTTGAAAAGAGTAGGAATGTTACCCCGGCATCCTGGCTAAATTTCCCATTGGCCTTTACCAGTCATAGTCCCCTATTAATCCCCATCTCTGAACTGGCTTTGTCACTCGGGTAGCTGGTGTGAGTGGGGAGCGTACTGACACACTCTGGGTGCCGTCACATCATCCAGGCGGGTGTGCTGCACACTGATGGTGTAAAGTGCTTTGATCGGAGTATCCAGAAAAGTTTAAGGAATTATTATTATAAATACCGCTTGCAATAAGCCTAAGACACAAAAGTGTCATCCATAGTCAGACAGCCAGATATCAGAGATCACGGAATAGCCTGCTTGTCAAAATAGCAAACACAAGACTTTTAGTTTAGTTTGAAAACATACCTCTTGGACTTTTACCTTCATTCTGGAAGGATTTAATTAGCTATCTTCCTTTTTTTCTTTCCTTGGCAGAAACTCTTATCCAGCATATGATGTGAATTCTGGGCAAGCATCTCACTGGAACAGCTTCGATTCCTTACAAATTCCTGCCAAAATCCGATATTCCACAGCAGCTTGTACAAGTCCCCCAGCCTGATGAAAGTAAACCTTTAATTGAAGAGGCATTATTTAGTTTTGATCTTGTCTACGGTCCATTTAAAACACCACTCTTAGAATATTTGTTAGAATTGCAAGTTAAAAAAATTCAGATTTCTTCTCAATTGTGATATGCAGAGAGCGATATAATAAATATTATGAATGGAAACCCACACCACGTATTGTTTTTATTCTTTGCCTACAATCTGTATTGAATCTGTGCAGTATTTTTTGTATCGACAATGAATCCATTGCAAACCAATACCATATTCATAAAAGGCCATTAACACTCAAAATCAGTTAATGGGCTGTGTAGCAAAACTACTGAAGTTCTGGAACGTCTCAACATCCATCTTGTCTCCACTCAACAATTGATCGGCTAACAGAAAAAAAATGTTTTGACAGATTGTCATCATTTACTTATTCAACTCAGGTCTGGCACAACAGACGCATACCATTGATACACTTACTGGTTCTACTGAAGGTTTGGGGAGGACTGGAGAATTAGGCTTTCCTTTTTTACCTGTCTCAACATGTGCAAAACACATTTGCAGATCACCCCTACGGTTTTTCTTTACCTAGTTCTCAGCAGTAGTCCAATGCACCCTTGTTTGCTCGAAGTAGAGGGAGCAGTCCCAATCCATGATAATCCACCACCATCCTCGGCAACTGGGATGAGGCTCTTCCATTGGTACACAGGGTTTGGTTTTTGCCACAGAACATATTTCTCATAGTGCAGAAATACGTCTTCAGTGAGAGAGGCCTGCAGATCCTAGAGTTTTAGTCTTCTTGGATGATTTTCTCAGTTGTTCTTGAAGAGCTCTTGGCCAAATGATCACTGAAAATGAACCTTTGAAAATGATATTTTTCCACTAACCTGTTATGATAACTCATATAGGACAAGATGGCTCAGGGGGTGATATCTGTACCCAATCATCCAATCCCTTCATTCCAATTATCTCCTTGATTGTGCACAATAAAATAGGGGTTATTTTGTAATGTAATGTATAATTTCACATAGTTTCTAGTTCATATACCATTAGATCTCAAAAACACTGAATTGGTAAACTTTTTGTACAAGACAGATTTGATTAAACAAGGGTACCCTGGTAAGAGATTGTAATTTCCATAATCATATTGGGGGGTTCACAAGCTTTTTCTCAGCACTGTAGGTCTCGCTCAACAAAAGAAAAGCACACATATAGTATGAGAAAAAAAACACACTAACATCATTCACGTATTGATACGATAGATCATAAGCACCCCTTGTGTCCAGTTAACAAAATCACTAAATGGTTCAAGCTTTCTGGATGCTGTCTCGTTCCTTACTCGTATCCAAGCGCAAGAGTGAGAGGTCACGCCTTCTTTTCAGTCCTCGCTGGTTCACTCTAATTGTTAGTGAAGACAGAACAACTTCAAACTGCAGAGGAGTGTCAGTGAGGCAGCTCCTAATGGATTAATTGAAACAGCTGTTAAGTAAATATCAGTCCTGAAAGCATTTCCACTTTCTCCCTCTAATTACATATTTGTAAATTGAATTAGTTGTAATAAATGAAGGTTATTCTTTAGCTGCTCTAACCTAACTTTTATGGAGCCAATAATGAAAGTTTCATACAACCAGTGGCACTCATTTTATGAGCATGGGGTTCCATGTCTCACACGGATCATTACTCTGCGGTGGGATCAGTCCGTCTTTATCCCTGCTGTTGCGTTCTTTATTCCTTTCCTTCTATTAAGAGTCAATAATTTGCAAAGCGCTTTGTAATGATCCATCCTTACGACATCCCCTACTTTGACAAATCCAGCAAACACAAAGACAGGAAACCATGCTGGGATCTGACATTTTGGTATTGTAATAACTGCGCACCTATTTCAAAGCGCTCTCGCAAAACAACATTTCTTCCCTGCCGCTTAACCATTTTTTTCTGTCGATTTCTTAAAAAATAATGTTTTCATACTGTGACATCCGGTCGACAGCACTAGACTTGGGAGTAATTTTTATCACTTCATCAGGTCAATACAACACAAGCACGGAATTACCCAAGAGAGTTCCACAAAACAGTTTTTTTGGTTATAATAAACGGAAATGGGCCCAAATAGAGCCGTGCTCAAGAATAGATTGAAAACGTTAAGACAGGCAATCTGGAATTTACAAAAAAAGAAAGGTACATTATTTGGTAGTGGCTTTTTCTTTAAGCTGAAAAGAATAACAAAGAATCTATTTGTGATGTACTGTTTGCAAGTAGTTTCCAAGTGCAAGAAATAGTTTTGTAACACTGTCGTCAGAAGAAACTATCATACAGACATAACACCTTCTAGTTAAAACAGTAATTTGGGGTTTAAATCCCAATAATCGCTGGGTAAGAAAGCACTTGGTATTCTCTACCCCTTTCCACTCTGAAAGACTTCACTTTTTTTTCTGCGGCTGTCAACACTAATTAGAATTTGATCGCCACACACCAGCCCTCTTGTTGCTGTTGTTGTTTTCCCAGTCAGCCTGCTCGCAGAGAGAGCGGCGACCATCTGTCCCACGTCTCCTCATCTCATTCCCCCGTCTTTCCCGCAACCCGCCCTCCCTTGTGCCATCTTAAATGATGGACGCAGCAGAGACACAGTGCACCGCTCCTCTCTGTCTCGCTCATGTGCCCTTTCCCCCACAGCTCTCAGCGCGTCCCCTATCTCACCCCAATCCCCCAGTTGCAGGGTACCCTCTGTTCTTGGTGTGAAATTTATTTCTATAGAGTTCCCACTTCCGTCCAGAGCAGCAATATCTCTACCATAATGTGGTGACCAATAAAGTACACAATATTCTAAAACATGCCTCAGCATCTTTCTAGCCTTGTTTACTGCTGAGCTACCTTTACCTTTGCTCCCTTGGGGCTCTCTTAACACCTTCTCTGCTCCTTAATACTTGGTATCATCTCTTCAACTACCCTCACTGACCCATCTACTGCACTTGTCTGGGTTCTCTTTCATGGAGCTATTGTTTTCTCTTCCTCGTCCCTGCTCCCCTCTTTCACTCCTCTTGATCTCCCTCACCCCTTCTCCTCCACCTCTCCTTGCCCACAGCTACTGTAGGTACCTGTTGGAGCTGGTAGAGTGGCAGCACTGCACCAACCTCTCCAGAAACCGGTGGATAAAACCTGCAAGAGCAGGGGATAACAGGAAATCTGGCTGCAAATAAAAAAGCTTTTTGATAATTGAAACACACACAAAAAAAAAAAACGCTTTTCTTTCCTCCTGGGATAGGAAAGTGGGGATGGTGCAAAGATTCAGTGACTGAGATTAGGAGTTTCAGAAGTGAAGGAGCAGTTTTGAAAGCAATGGCCAAGTTGAAAAAGTAAAGAAGATCAATATTGTGAGTGTACAATCACAAAACAGAAGGGGAACAGACTGAGAGCTAGATGTGGCACATTTACAAAGGGGTTTAAAAAATAATTTTAATACAAAAAGGAGCTAACCAATGCTACTTTTATGTACAGGTTCATAGCTGTGTGTTCTTCTTTTAAATTGCATTCATATAATCTCAAGCTCAAAATGAGATGTTTTTTTTTTCATTTTTTTAAAGCAACCTTTTTAAAGAGGCCTACTGTAAATTGGCTATGGAGTTTCAGAGATAAATGAAGTACCTGTCAATTCACAAGACACTGACAGGCTCTTATTTCTGTCCATTAGAAAATCTAATAAATTAACCAGATTTGTTTAAGGGGGAAAAAATCACCATCTTCAGTCGAAGCATTCTTATTAGCCTAACATTGTCCTACATCTAAAAGAGTCTCTCATCCTCTTCACTTTTCTCTCATTTTAATTAACAAATAAAGCCAGAAGCACTAATTAACCCTGGTGGAGATTTGATTTTGCCACAGTGCCCTTGTGTTGTGAAAATAAAAAACTAAAGAAAGCAGTCCTATCACATCCATCCATGACTCATGGTGGCCGAAAGGCTCTGCTAAATGCCTGGGCCGGTTTGCTCAACTTGCCCCATGAACCACAGAGTTAATGACCTGGCATCTACAGTTCATTCCAGCTGTTCACAGGTGTTCCAGACCCAAAGGGGGAAAAGTGCAGTTTGAGCCTTTCGAGGTTTTGCAAGCTGCAGGGTTAAACACTAAGCCAGCAACAGGTGGTGCTTACTCCATGGTTTTTACTTTATATGGAATACATTTGCATAGGCAGACACACAGAGATAACGTATTATTATAAAAATATACAGTTCCGCATTTCTCTTATGAATTAAGTATTAGAGCAGCACTATACTTGCACAAGATGGATCAAGGTATTAGGCAATTGGAGTCCTGTTTCCTTCCCTGGCACACCCCATCTGTGGACTGTTTTACATTAAAATTCCCTTATCCTAGATGCTGGGCTGTTTTCTTTTCTGTATTTCTGGGAACATGTATTAAGCTCCTATGTTTGCGAACACCACAAAGTAAAGGCAAATTTCTTAGAATTACAGTAATACCGAGGCTAAAGAAACCAAATCAGCTCATTTGGATTGAACTGTGTAGGTAAGCATTGCAGTAACTGTCCACGGACCTGCTGTGTGTTCTATGAGTGGAGGTTCTTTTTTAAGTTATGTACCTTCTACCAATCCGCCAGCAACACAAAGAAAGGAGATAAACTGCTCTTTTGCAGGTGAATAGGAAACAGACGTAGTTTGTCATTGTGTGGTCGCTGTTCTGTTCAAGGTAATGGCTGGTTGGGGAGGTAATGTACCTTGAGCACCTACATCACTGCCCGGTGCAGGGGTCAGCAGCTTAAGGGTTGTTAGCCATTACTGGCTTGCAAAGTGACTTTTAATGGTACGTGCAATAAAAGTCTAATAAGCCACAAAGAGATTAAGTTAAAAAAATCAATGAAAACTAAGCTTGAATCTTCTGTAATTCTCTATACCATGCTACTCAATGAAAGCTCCTTGGCATAGACAAAAAAACTAACTTATTTACTGCATTATTTTTCACCGGACTAACCTATTGTTTGCAAAGAAACAAGTAATAGGTTTATTCCATGCTGAAAAGAAGAAGAAAGAAAACACAACGTTTCGGCCGTGGAGCCTTCTTCAGGTGTGAGTCTATTGTTTTCGCAGGAAAGCTCGCAATCTGCGTCTCTGATAACACTTTTCACGCTTAAGTGTACGTCCAAGCACTCTGGACAAAACAGCAGCAGCTAAGAAAGCAAAGCTAGACGTTCGCTCATTACAGCCCTTTTGGTAAGATGGACAGAGATTTGCTCAGCATGAAGTCTGTGCTGTTTGTGCTCTGAGTGT